GTCGGCCAAGGATCCTGAGAGGAGAAAAGCCCCCCCCCACGAAGACCTCACACCCAGCTTTCAGAAGGTGTTGCCAAGGTGTCCGCCTCCCATCCCGTTCCACCCGAAATCAAAACCCGAGGCTGCGCCATCATTTCCGACAGTCTGTACTTTTCAGAAAGAATTCGAGCCAACGTCTCAGTACACGACAACACGGTGGTTCTCAGGTAGGCAGCAGCGTCAGGAGGAAGGGAGGAGCAGGGGTGAAGAAAGGGCCGGGCAGCCCAAAAGGATTCACGACGTGCTACCTAAGGAGGAGGGGACCACACTCGCACAGGGAAAGAGTGCTTCACGGCAGTTGTTTGCCGTGGGCCAGTGCAACGGGACAGGAAAGGATCCAGGAAACGGATAAGCGATCCCTCACTAGACTCTGGTGCCTCTTCTTCATCCGGCAGGCAACTCCCACGGGAGGGGTGTGTGTGCCAGGTTTCGGTCAGGTCAACCGCTCCCAACCTCCCCCTTCACTTGCCTCGTTTGCCTCGGCCCTTCCGGGAAGGCGGCTTCCCCGGCCCCCCTGCCGATGACGAGCTGGCCGAGGCCATGGCGATATTGATCTGTCCGTCCTGGATCTCCTGCCGGGCCTCTTCCGGGAGGTGGCTGATCTTCTGCTGGGTCTCCAAGTAGAACATGACGTCTCGGAGCTGCTCCTCGACCTCTGTGATGTGCAGGTCCTTCTGCTCGCAGGTCTCCTTCAGCAGCTTCTCTTCCTCCTTCAGCTTGGTCTGCAGCAAGAGCTGATTAGCCCTCAGGCACTTGTTCATCTCCTGCTCCTCTTTGAGCTCGGAGCTGAGCCTCGAAACCTTGGCGTTGAGCTGCGTGCACCTGGAGAGGCGAGAGAGAGAGAAATAATGGGCTGATCCTCCCGCCCCAGCCATATCTGAACTTTAAACTGGCTTCCTTGCTAAATTTTAGAAAAGAAGATTCTTCTTCTACTTTAAGTTAAAGGTTCATAGGATTATCCAGAGAAAAGAACTGGATTAATACAAGGGAGGGTACAAACTCTTCTGAGACTACGAATAAATGTCTTGCTAGAGGTGCATAAAAGACAAGTCTATTAAATCTCCCATAGGGAGATTTGTTTAAGGCAGGAGCGACGTGAAGACATTCAGAGATTCCTTGGTAGAATCTGACAAACCGATCCCCCTTTCCAAGCATTCAGGAACCCACACAATCGCCCACGAGCCCACGCTGCCAGACACACTTCGGAAGGAGCAGATATTTATCAGGTCAGCTGATGGAAAGGGAGTCTGCAAAAGAACGGGCCTTAAAAGAAGCTGCTACAGCATTAAGGCAGCCCTGGGATCCACCAGGGAAAACTAGAGGTGAGGAAATAAAGTGCCTTAAATCAACACATGCACACACACTCTCTCTCTCATTGTCTGTCTGTCTGTTTTTAGAACCTTCTCTTTTCCCAAGAAACCAACACCACCCAGTCACGTACTTCCTTTCAATGGCTTGTTTTTCCTTGACTAGATCGTTCAGCCGCTGTTCGAGGGAGTCGCACTTCTCAATGGTCTCTTTGAACTTAGTCTTCATGTTGTTAATCTATTAAAAAACACACACACATTAAAGAAAAACACTCAATGCAAGCAGGCCAAAGTGCGCATGGCTGTCCTCAGTTACATAGTCCAGGATTCTGGACAGATTTGAAAAAAAACCTTGGTGACTTCCTGGGGATATATTTCAAAGCGAGGAGGACACACAGAGAATGACCAGTGGGAGAAGACCCCGCTGGACTTGTTTCCCAGAATGCCCGAGATGGCGGCCCTTCTCATTCCAAAGGCAAAACTCCCAAATCCATGCTGCATCCAGGCATTAAATTCCTCGCTAACCTCTGCAATGAACTCACCTCTTCGGCCGTATCCTTTTCTATTCGGACGATCTTGTTCTCCCAGTAGATGCGCTGCGACTCCAGCTGACTCGTGAGCAAGTAGGAGTACTGCGGAAGGGGAAGACAAGGAACAAGGAGGTCAGACCGTCCACTCCGCCAGAAGCAAAACGTGTTTTCTGCAGGGAGAGCTCCTTCCTTTGTGTGGGGCTGGAGGAGAACGATGTCCTAGAAACCCCGCATCTCAGCAAGAGATGAAGACGGAAAGGTCTATCGCTTCCACGGCCGGTGCCATCTCCTGCACGCCATGTTTTGTTTTCCATGCTTCATTTTGTTTTCCAATTTCTTCAGCGCTCCACAGCGGGATGCGAGGCACTCAAGGGGAGTGCCACAGATCGCTGCCATGAGCAAAAGGAGAAACACGGAGACAGCGTGGCAAGGAAGAAAAAATGCCGACGCTCGGTCGGCTTCTCCAGAACAATTCGGAGGAACATGGAGTAGTGTTTGGACCGCAGTACCCAGAAGCCCCCCGTCAGTGCGGTCCCACAGGCGGGGATTTGGGGAACTGGAGCACCAAAGGCTGATAACGACAGAAGACACCTCACTGCTTCTCCATCGACTCCAGAGGATGAATTCAAATCACCCACTCAACTTTTAAGATGGAACATCTTGGGACTAAAGGCACTCCAGAGGCCTTCTCTGGGCCAGAGCCCTCCCTATGGATCAGACCACAAAGCTCATCATCCTTGATCAACAAGGGCCACCGTAGCCCCAAGGCTGCTCAGACGTAATATATATGTATGTGTGTGCTGGGCCGTCAAGTTGGAACTGTCTTAGAGCGACCCTCAGAGGGTTTTCAAGGCAAGGGAGATGTTGGAGGAGTGATTTGACCTGCTGTGCTTTCCCAGTCAGTTTCCATGGCAAAGTGAGGATTCAAACTCTGCTCTCCAGAGTCCCAGTCCGTCACTCTATCCACTGATCGCTAACGGCGAAGGCCTTCTGGGAGTTGCAGTCCAAGATTATCCAGGGAACCCAGGCTGGGGCCGCCTGTTCTAGAGGAGCCTAGGCAAAGCAGCGCAGACCCACCTCTAGTTGCAAGGCGTCAATCTTCTCCTCTTGACACACGTCCCCCTCGCACTCGTACTGAACCAGCTTCCCATCCGTTTTGCTGGCCACCAGCCGGTGCACGTAATTATCTAGAGATAAAGGCAACAACCTGGTGGCTATCTGGTAAACATTCCCCTTGCTGGATTTAGAGTTAATTCTTAGAGAGCTCAGTGGCTTAAGGCCTCTGGCTATGGAGCCAGAGGTTGGGAGTTCGATTTCCCCCCCCCCCACTATGCCTCTTTGACACAAGGCTGGACTGGATGATCCAGAGGGTCCCTTGAAAGCAGCTCTGAAGCCAGCCAGAAGGGACAATGAAGGATAAGCTTCCGACACCACCCACCGCCCAGAAGGCTTTGGCCACGGCAACCCCCACCCGCATAAGGAAGAGGGAATACCTCCAGCGTAGTCCCAAACTCGGTGGTTGGTCAGCTGCATGGCGTAGGTGTGCTGGGTCTCCTCAAAGTGCTTGTACGCGTGCCGGCTCACGTAGCGCCCGCATCCGATGTGTCCGCAGATCAGACAGATCCACAGGTTCTGTGCAACCAGGGGGTGGATGGGTGGGTATTAATAGAACCAAAAACATTGGTGGGGGGGGGAAGGACTCGCGCGTTCAAGCCCTGGACCATTTTACAAGAAATTTAGGTCCAACCCAACAGGGCTGAGGCTTTCTACCCAGGACACAAAGACATCCTCTCCACCATCCCAGACCCCTCTCACCTCCTGGACCCCACACTCAAAGCACTTATTTTCTTCCACGGGTTCTGGCGTTTGGCAGTACCTGCACACCGGACACCTGGAAGGAGAGGCGGAGGACGCTGTTATAACTTCGGTCTGTGCCTGTGGGGGCGGCTCGGTTTTTAAAAGTTTTCAGCCTGTCCTCCTCTGAGAACTCACGAATAAACAACACATTAAACTAACCATCTCGCTCCTGATGCCCCCCCCCGTGATTCCTCTTGTCCTTGTAACTTGGTGCTATGTTGAGGAAGTAACTAGTTACAAAGCTCTCACTACTTATCCGCCCCCATTTTCCACTACTTTTTCATTGGAAGGCTCTTCTAAGAGAATGGCATAAAGTCCCTGCTTCTCAAAAAAGCTTTTCAACAGGTTTTTAAAAGCCACTTTCAAGAAATAATTAGAAAACGCCTGCTTGTTTACCTAATGCACCAACTCTGATCTGTTCACGGCACTCTTTTTGAAATGTGACATTTAAGATTTTGGGACTTTAACAAAAGTATGTCCTTTTCTGGACTACCCACAAGAGTTTGGCACACAGCCTGAAGAAAAGGAATGATTATCGAAAGCTCACCGTCTGTAGTTGATTTTTTTCTTAGTGGATTTTTTTAGGAGCATCACCTGCTCCTACATTTGTATTGTTTTGGAGGCCACACGGCCCTTTTCTGATTTGTTACCCTCCTGTTACACATAAACATAACTAGTCACAGGTGGCATAAGTTACTTGCAATATTTTACTTCTGTGTTCTGAGCTGGTCTCTGCTGGTGGGACTGTATCAAAATGTTAGCATCTTACAGATTCCAGAGAAAGACCAGCTATAAAGATACTGCAAGGAAAACCCTCCTGCTGTCTCACTCCCGTCTGATTTTGCCATGGCGTGCTTTCAAACCTTAAGCCACAGAAACACACACAAACAGAAAGAGAGAAAAAAGTCAGCCTCTTACGTAGTGTCCTCCCACCGCTGCAGACACTGGCTGTGGAAACTGTGATTGCACAGTGTGGTAAGGATCCCGTTAACGGACTCGTCCATCCGTTCCAAGCAGACCGTGCACTTCGGAAGCTCAGTCAGATCCATGACAGGAAGGCTGGCTCCCTGTAGAAAAAGAAAAGGACATCACTGGTTATTCATGGCGTCATTTAATGGCTACTTAGGGCAGATTTCCATCTGCAAAACATCATCCCGTCCCCCCATCAACAGGCAAATAGTTGATTAAAAAAAAAAGAGAAGATTCCAAAAGGATAGCCGGGCTCTTCTGTCATGGCAAACAGACCAATAAGCCCCTTAAAAATGCATGGCGTTGGCCAACTTCAACACCTGCCCTCTGTTATGGAACTTCCCGCCAGGTTCCAGAGAACACAAACTGAAATGTGTGTGCTAAAGCAGTGAAGGATGGATGTTCAATTGTGCAAAAAGAAAAAGAAACCCACAAAGAAGAAAACATCAGAAGCACAAAAACGGCCTTGCATCGCAACGATCATTTCTAATGCTTGTTACAAACCACGAAAAACAGTTTCCGTGTCATCGAAGGGGCGGCCCCATTAAATCACTCCGAGGAGTTTGGAAAAAGAGGAAGAATTTCTACTAAGAGGATGTTCTTGAACTTAAAGACGGCAGGTCTTTTTCTTTTTCGCTTTAGATTGAAAAACAGTCGACAGGGCTTATGGACTTTGAAGACTTTCAACAAGGCTGCCTTCCCGGGAGAAAGGTAAGGGAACCGAAGGGGGGAAACTTACGTCTTCTGACTTGAAGACCTCCGCCCTCTCCACGTAGACCAGTTGGCAAACATCTTCTTCGATGGAGTTGAACTGCCGGCCGTTGCAAGTCATGTAGAAGCTGTCTGCATCTGCCTACGGGCCGGTCGAAGGAAGGAGAGGAACAGGTTTAGAAGGAGGGACAGTTGAAGTACGAGAGGCCAAACTGAGTCAGAATTTCCCAGGCATTCACACAGTCCCCCCCCCTTCAAATCAGGACGAATTTTGCCTTCAACACCCCTCAGCACCTTGGTTTGGGCTAATAAAATATGGGCTATAAACATAACCCATCATTGGATACAGCACCCTTCTGAAATGCCCAAGGGCCATTCCGTCCAGAGGGCACAAATTTATTTATTTATTTAAGATACTTTTACCCCGCTTTTCCCCTTTAAAAAAAGGGCCTGAGGCCTTACACCCTTTGGAGAACTGCCTCCCATTCAGCCGGAACGGCGCCTGATCTCTTTGGCTCTACCTGAGTGCTAAACTTGATCAGGGCCATGTACTGGTTCGGGGTGGAGTCCCGGATGATCTTCATGTGTTCGATGACTTCGTAAAAGGAAGCGACAAACTTCATGAGGTCGTGGCTCGTCATGGTGGCGGGAACGGTGAGGACGCACAGCATGGCGCTGCGGCGCACGTCCTCCTTCAAGGAGGTCATCTTGCTGCACAAGACAAGAAACCAAGCTGGCCAGGAAGCTCACTGAGGCTTCAGAAGTGCAAAAAACCCAATAGCATCAGATCTCAGGTAAAAAGGAGCTCTGTTAAAGGCTTCCAGGAGGAGCACAATTGTTGTCTGTCTAGAGGGATCTTCAGGAATCAGGCCGTACTGCTAAACTCAGTACTTCTGTTGCTTTCCCCCCAAAATGGAACTACTGATTTTTCCCCCAGGACTGGGTAACAAACCCCACCAACCGGCCGAGTGTGACTACGAGAGTGGGAATCAAATGTATCTGGAGGGTTATGAGGTTGGGGAAGAGGCAACTAAACCAGAACAGCCTCCCCGTTCACATAAGGCAACAACAAAAAGCTCTCAATAATTCTGGCCGGTGTCCACCCCTGCATGAACTCAAACAGCCACCCAAGAAGTTCTGAGAATCTTCTTTAACAGATAAGGTAAGGCATCCTAAGCAGGTAAATTCACAGGGGAAATTTCCAGAAGCAAAAGACTGAAGCCCATTACTATAAAGCAGTGGTTCTTAAACATCCTCCATCCAGCTTAGTACTGTACTACACCCTCAGACAGAGGGCACCAGCTCTGCTGAATCTCTGCCACTGTCTCCCACTGGCTCCTTCTTGCTCCAGACTGCAGCTTCAGCTGGGGGGGGCAATCTTGCCTGTGCTGGAGCCGTGGCCACAACTCTCTCTTATGAGAGCAGGATTTACCCGCCAACTTTTGTCCTTCCACCCAGCTTCCCTGAGCCCTAGGAGAAGACTCCCCTCCTCACTTTGTCTTGTAGAGGTGCATGATACCATGAACAATTTCAACAGAAGGATTCCCGCTGAAAAAGGAGATCTGGTCCGGAAGTTGCTTCGAAGGGGAATCGGGCGCTGCCGTCACGCCCTCGCTTTGGCCGTCGTGTTTACTTCGCTCCTCCGGGGAGGAAGCCTCAGAGGCTTTGCCTTCTTCTTCCATCGCTGCTTTCATCTCATCTTTTTTTCCCACCCAGAAACAAACAACACCAAGAGGTGAGGAATTTAGAAATACAAATACCCTACTTGCCCCCCCCCAACCTTCCCCCAAATTCAATCTCACTTCTAAAACACTGTTTTCAGGTGTGATGGGGGGGCTAATCACTACAGGTCCACTGGAAATGAAAATGATACTTCTGAACCCCAATGCATACTCTCCAGAATATTTCCATCACAGTCCCTGGGACCCAGCTGGGCAGGGCAGAGGTGTGTGTGTGTGTCAATGCCATTCTCATTTGGCCACCAAGTCACAGTTGATCAGACTGAGTTAAAGCTGGTCCAAAGGATGCTGGAGGTGCAGAGCAGCTTACATCCTCAAATGCACAAAGCACCTTTGGTTCCAGAATCCACCAGCCCAGATCATCACCCCTGTAGATTTTTGCATGGCCCGTTGAGAAACACAGAATATTATAAAACACGGAGAAGTACCTGCATCAGGCTTTATCGTCTCGATGATCATGTCTGTCATCTCCCTGCGGCCGATGTGCTGATGAATGATGGCTGCTCTCTCCACAGGCGCCTTGCCTTCCAAAGAGGCAGTGGCTGCCGCAAGCGATTTCTCCTGGATTTCCTCATCAGACATTTCAGTGGCTAGGCAAAAACAGTGATTCACATCCTTTTACCATTGCTCCCCGCAACCCAGAGGAAAACAGAAGGAGCCCCATAAACTGGCAAAACCTGACGGATGAGATCCTTTAAAGGCTGCGTTGAGGCTATTAATTCACGGAGCTTCCTTCACGCCTCCCTTCCTGCCTATCATTCCCGATCTTCATCACTTGAGCTACAACATACCGATGACCCAGTTTAGCAGATTTTCAGAACCACTTAAAAACCAACAACAGGCAACCAAATGCTGGGATGCACCTTGTTACACAAACACACCTCTCCACCAGACACTGACAGATACCTCGGCTTCTGGGCAATTCAGTGAGAAGGCTCAAATCCCATTTAAAATCTCATCGTTGAAAAAAAAAACCTTTATTTTGTTGGTCAGCTGCCTTCACCATACTGTTCAAACAATATAAATCTATATATTCACAACATACCATGACCTACACAGTGTTTAAAACTCTGGAATCAACGTGCTGTTCCTCTGTTTTATGTTTGCTTGCTACACATCAACATAACCTGGACCAGTTTCCATAGGAAGAACTACTAGTAGGTCCACCAGAACGCTTTCCATTTCCAGAAACACTGGCCAAAATGTGAAGACCTGCCTGTCTTTATTTACACAGATCTAACACACACATGGCATTGAGGGTTCTCCCGTGAGCGTAACTACAATGCAACGTCCAGTGGTTCCAAAACAGCCGCAGCCCCTCAAGACTATTCAGCAACAGCTACTGAGATGAGACGTACCTGAGGGGTGGGGAGTGTGGGAAAAACAGGACAACAACAACAACAAAAAGAGACCTAGCAGTATGTACCGAAACACGGCTAAGGAAACTCCTAAACGACTTTGAGAATAAGGACAGCAGAAAGGCCAACAGTAGCTCCTGTGACTCTTCCATCCTGCCATCCTGCTTGAATAACATCGATTCTCTCCCCATGGCCTGAAGCCAAACTGCGAGGGATATGAAATTTTGAAAGATTTATTACATCTAGATCCAGTATGTCATAAACCCTAAATATAGGGAATCAGAACCACCACCTACTCTTGCTCGTTTTGCCTTTCCACCTCTTGTCTTCCAAGGGGCCCCTAAAGACTTCTATTTTTAAAAGTTAAGAATCCATTTTCCTTGTAAGCTCAAAGGACAGAAGAGAGATTGAAAACAAACAAACCCGGGTGGTTCAAGTACAAGCGGGCCGGGGGGTGGTGGTGGCCATGACGGTAGGCAGCCTTTCAGGCGAGAAGGCAATCGACTCCGACGGTTGACAGCACACACACCCTGGCACAGCTGGCAGGAGCTTTCCCCAAACTGGGGGAGGGGGTTTGGGGGGGTCCGTCAATTATACCCAATCCCACCCACCCCCCGGGGTCCCAACCTGATAGGCGACGGAAGGGGGTTAGAGCAATCCATCAGGAGGCCAGGCCAGGGGGGGGCGGTGAAAAGCCCCCTCCATTTATCCAACCCATCCTTGAAAACAAACCCCCCTTTGGCCCAAATTAAGCAGGAGTCCCAGACTTGGTGTCTTCTCTGATCTGCCTCCCCCCCACTTGAGGCTTCTTCCACGGCACCCAGCGGGCTGAGGGGGCACCTGGGAGATGGGGTCCGACCCAAAGGCCCCTTGTGGGTGGGAACCCCCAGATAAAGAAGGGGTGCGTGTGGGAGAGTGGAAAAGTATGGCAAACAAATGCTTCCCCCCCCCGCCCCGTGGTTTTCTTGGGTTTACAACCCCTAGGGAGGTTCCTCCGGGTTGGGGGGGCTGGACTACAAGTCCCATAAACCTCCAGCCAGCTGGGGCTTATGGGAGGTGTATTCCCCACAGGGGTGAGGAGAGTCTGGACCCAAGGGGGTTGAGAGAAGAGGAGGAGGAGGAGGAAGGCCCGCAGGGCTGAGAGGAAAAGCGGTGGGGTTGCCACTCCCAAGCCCATCATCCCCTTCTCTCCCTCACCGGCCGCGCTGTAAGGGAAGCCGCCGGGCAGGGGCGACGTCTCCGCCAGCTCCAGACGAAGGACCACCAGGGACACACTCATAGGGCCCGCCCGAGGAGGGCTGCCGGGCCGGCGGGGCCCGAGCTGGGACGGCGAGGAAAGAGGAGGACGAGGAGGAAGGAGTCCCGGCCGAGAGCGCGGCTGAGGCTGAGGCTGAGGCTGACACCCCCACCAGGACGCCGTCGCCTCGGTATTGTGAGCCACTTCCGCCTCCGCGCCCTTTGACCTCGCCTTCTAGCCCTCACGTACGGCGCGTGACGACGGAAGAGGAGGAGCGACGCGCAGGCGCG